TGTGATTGATTAGTTCATAATAGATCTTATCTGACCAAATACAATCTGATTAATTGCGAGTTGTTACTTCAAGTTTGTGAGAGAAAGTTAATGAGAAATGTTTGTCAGTTTATCTTTATTCATTATCATATCCTTCCAATAAAACTGTTGTTTCATTGCAACGGTGTGGATCCTTCAAATTAGAAAACTTTTCGAAATTTTGCAATTATTTTCATTAGTCAGTTTTTAGATATTTTTATAAGGTCGTGTGTGTGGGGTAAGAGGAAAGCCTTAGAGCATTAAAAGCTAGGAGATGGGCGTCTGTGGGTCGGCTATCATAGTTTCCCACAAGCTTAACATTCTGATTGCATCTATGTGGGGCCTAGCACCCCTTTTGGCTAATTAGAGTTAGATAGCGCATTGAAGAGGTTGAATTTCACAATTATGAAATCCTCTACTTCTGTCCGTTGGTAATGCTGATTGGGGATGTAAAAGACTGCATTGTCTTTGTCATCAGTATGAATACAAAGTTGCAAAAATCCAGCTTTCATATTAAATTTGGATGACTTTTTTTATTTCTGTCATTGACTCACTGTTAAATTATAATTTTAGATAATCGGTTTATGAATTTTTTCCATTTTTTTTAATTTATTGATGATTTAAAACATTTTTATAGATTAGAGCATGGTTTAAGTGATTGCAGGTATTCATGATTTCATGCTTTTAATTATGCTTCATAAGTTTGAAAAATCCAGTAAAAGAAGTGAGAATGTGATTAGGTTTATATTTATTTTGTCTTGTTCGCGGTACCTCTAGCTCTAGGTGTGAATGTGAGAAAGTCAGCCAAATAGGTTAATTATATATAGCAAAGAACATAAATAATAAATAAATTTATAAGTGATTCATAAACATTGGTACAAACAAATTAGTACATTGAATATATATTTACTAGTACATAATATCATACAAAATTCTGTGCGCAAATCGATGGCTTTAGTTTTGAATTTCAAAAAGTTGGAAAATTTGTTGAGTTGTTAAACTAGTAATTTACAGATATCGACTATGATATTAAACAGCGATAAAAAATAAGCAAAGGAATNTGCGAGATGGATCAGAACGAAAACGTCTTGTCCAATGCCCGCTTCTGTACTAAACATAAAATAATATCCTCATTGTTACCTAATTTCTGTGCTACTCAATTTACTTTTATGGTAATTTGAGGAGAAAAGTAAATGGGGGCCGAAACTTGCCTATTACTTTTTTTTGGAACTGCTTTGTGCTTAGTGCTTACTACTATGAGCCACAGTGATTGCCACAACTTTTACATTAGGACGACTTTCTTTTTTCGGTGCTTCTTGCTTTTTCATGGACTCTCCCCTTTTAGTACTGATTTTCATTTTCTATATACAGTAGAATGTAGCAATGCTCTCATTAAAAATCAAAAGGCAAATGCTATTTGTAAATTCATGGACAACGATTTGTGAAACTCATGTTCTAATTCAAGAAACTTATAGGTTTCATGACAGAAAAATGATAGTGTTAACATGAGTCTTGAAGATACTCATCGTTGTGCCAAAATCAGTCACCAATAATAACAAAGCATTAGTCGTCAATTAAAATCAAACAACAGTTAAAGCCTGTGAGCTGTCATCAACTTAATCCAATTATCCACACTTGTCCTAACTCTATTAAATTATTGGATCATAATTAAGGAGAATTCTCCACGTAAGTAGACAGTTTGCTAAATAATAATTACACTGGACTCAACTATATAAATAAGCAACGTTCTTCTTCAAAAATAGGCTAGGCATACATTCGAGCTTAAACCATTATTTATTTTTGTAAACAAAGTATTACTTTATCTTTATACACCTCTCAAACGATATCAGAAAAACAGTAAGAGAATAATAAAATAACAGTGAACGTATGACTTACTTACAACATCCAAACCACTTTAAAAACCTCTTTTATCAATCTTTTATTTACGTTTTTTCATGCATGTATCATCACTATACTATAAACACTTTCATAATCATCTCACATGTAAATTCATAGTAGTTTGCATTGTGCTTATTTCATTGGAGTCGAAATCACGCATCAACACTTGTTAAAACCATTCAATATATAAAAGTGTGTGGTTCGCTAGTGTCATCCATCCTGATCTATAGTGGTCTCTGTTAGGTATAGATAGTTAATTGTGGTGGAGTTGCTAGGGAGATGGGGAAGAAGATAGAAATTTAAGTGATGCAGGAATCTTGAACCTAATAATAAAGGGCAATTGTGGTTCAGGTCTTTGACTAAAGAAGCCACAGACTGATGCACAAAAAAAAAAAAAATATATCAGTTCCAATGAACTAATTAAATGAAGTTTTTGGTGCTCTAAACAGTAAAAAGGATATAAGCTTTTCAGAATGTAGGCCACCAACCCTTTTCTTTCACTCCTAAAAGAGCCATTTGCCTTTTGGATTTTTGCAGAGTCATTTGATAAATAAAGCATCTTAAACAAATGATAAAACCCCATTACAAAGACAATCCAATCCCAATACACCTAATTTTTGGGTTGATGAAAAGATTTGAAGGTCCAAATCCTTGTCTCTCACCCAACATTTCCACATGAGATTCTATATACTATATGCATGATTAGATACAGAATGATTGGTTTTGACCACTTTTGTTCTTGAGAAGATCTTTTACCTTTGACTCTTCAGTATTCATTCTCTTTTTCACCCAATGTGCAATTCAAGGGAGGCCTTTTACAATGAAAGTTTGTACAAAACAAATTTTTAAAGAATTGTACAAAACTGTTATACTAGGTTGTTTAATACTCTGATTCAACACGTAAAGCTGCCAAATCAAGACAAAAAGATAAAAGATTTACAATCAAAGCTTTACATAAAATTGAAGGTAATGGAGAGCCAAAATATGTCCAATTGGGTTATGTTTTATCAGTTGATTAGTTTGATTCACTAGTAAAAGTAAAATCCCATAATAGAAATTTTACTTGTATGTTTCTTGAGATAAGGAAAGTGGTTGTTGGTCAGCTGAAATTTCTCAGGGTTTCCCCACAAATTTGGTTAAGTTCAAACTATTAATGATGATAAACTCACTAACATGACATGATTTAATCACCTTTGCTGAATCAAAAGTGAGACAAAATAATGAGACTAAACAACTTTAGTTTTTGATGGTTGTGGGGAACAAAATCAATTTCCAAACAGGTGAACCATCATGAAGTTTCATTGACAAAGACTGGTCACCAAAATCCCAAAAGGAGAACTTGAATTTTAAATTCCTTGGGTTGTAATTTTTATAAATATACTCTAGTATGATCTCACATGATGAGCAGTTCAAGCACTAGCAGAAGAAAAGTTAATGGAACTGTTTTGTTTACGCAGCAATTTTGGTAATTGGCTTTATAGACATTGGAACACCTTTTCTTAAAAACCAGTTTTTAAGGGTGAGTTCTACTCTGCAATACAATATGTAATTGAAGATGTCGAAAAATGTTTCGTGACCAGTCAATTTTAGGCCGGCGAAAAGGTTGAAGATTTTGGTAATCCAGTGATTATATTACTTATGTATGCAGAAAAGGCTACAAAAAGCTATAAGAATAAGGCACAAAATGTAATGAACTGAGCTGTCTGTTTATGAAAAATCGTTGTCCATGTTAACAAGGTCCCTGCAAAACTCATAAAACATTTTGTTTCAACAGTCGACCACGTTTAAAATCTTTTGGTGGTTCAACTCTTCAGCAGCGGATTACGTAGGCTACAGTGTTTAGAGTTTTAAGGAATATAAACTAAATGAGTAAATGTTAAACTCGATCGCCACTGTTGAGGTAAAAGCATTCCATTTGAGGAAAACGGACCGGCAAAAGTTACAAGAAAATCTAATATTAATCATCACTTAATGGGCTAATCAAGGGAAGGAAACAGGCAGTCTGCTGTTAAAAGTGACTAATCAAGTGGTTTTCTGATCACCAAGACGTTCAAAAGATATGTTACTTTTCCCATTAGTTCATAATTAACTCACTCTTTCGTGTTTAAGTAATTTGAAAGCTTTTAGCGTTGATTGAATTTATTCCCTGTGATGATGACTAGAGTGAGGTTATCCTGGCAAAAGTAGAATGCCCAACTGAGAAGAGTTGGCTTCAGATTCTTGCAATTTTGTGGTTTAACTTGACTTCATATGATTGTTAATTTGTGGGAGAACATTGTGAGGTCAAATAATGCATAAATGAGGCCAAGCATGCATCCTATGACTGGAAATTATCAGAAATCCGGAGATAAAAAGAAAAGATATGGGCCATTTAAAATCATTAGAACACCCACCCAATTGCATTCAGTGTTTTTTTTTTTTTTTTTAATCTTTAGCTGTAGTTGTAGCACTTCCTATTTCCTAACCAAAAGTCTACCCCAGCTGCAGTAAACCAGGAGCTCTTTTAAACCAAACAGTTGTAAAAAGATGTTTATGTTTCACACCATCCAACCCAATTTATACAATTTGATCATCACATCGCTTTTTTTGCTCGATAAAATATTAGTTTAAGGTCATCATGCTTTACAATAAAGCTCATTGACTGTGCTTATTGTATTCTATAATCAAGCACTTGGACTGTGGCACTGTATCCATTTGATTTCTGAATTGAAAATTTTAGATTCCAGAATGTTATGAAGTGACCCGATATAGTGCCAGTTTCTCTGTATTTTGTATGCCACCAAAACAAAACAAGAGAGACTGAAAACAGGTTTCTGGTGAATTTCCCATTTCAATTTTTTAGTGAATTTTTTCTTTGAAGGAGGTAAAGTTATAAACTTATAATATTTTGAAGTTGAAAGGTACGTGTACGACAATCCCAAATTCTAAAGGGTTCTTCTTTTTGAGTTGAAAAATTTGTTGTTTAGACGTTTGTACTATTGTATGACAGTAAGGCACTGCATTTTCAACGGAATTGACGTTTCAAGAAGAAGACACAAAAGGCCAAAGCAGATAATTAATAATAATGATAATAATAATAGCATATATTATAACATAAATGTACTGTACATAAGCATCTTCAAGAGGTCACTTAGGAGACAATTCTAGCAACCGGAGATGGTCTAACTGGTAGCAGCCCATTACGACTCTAAAAAGGCTAAGAAAAAAAGGGTCAAATTAGCAAATGAGTTGACATTAATTAGCAGAAATGGAACCATAAGTGGGTAACTGAGCTTTTAATGGTCTACATTAGAGAGACTGAGGTGGCACAACAGAACATAACTCTACAGATCCATAGTCAAGAAGTTCCTGAATCATTTGCTCAATGTGATCATCTTCGAGAGGCTTGAACTGCTGGCTACTTTCAACTTGAACTTTCTTCACAAACCAGTTTGGCTCACTTGACTCACTACTCTCTTGCACTGATAATGGGCTCTTCTCTAGCAACCGTGACCCCACTTCACTGCCTCTCCCAGCAATGTCATTAGTTTTGATAACGTGTGAAACTGGTGCTTTTTGAGGCTCATTTGGTGATGATTTGGTCATTTGAAGAGAGGCCATGTAGCACCTATGAAGTTTAGCAGTCAAAGTTGCTGAGAGAAGTTTAGATGATGAAGATTGAGGCGCATTTGGGTTGTATTGGAAGTTGGTTCTAGCCCTTGGTCCACACATCAGCCTTGCTGCTTCATCATACGCTCTTGCAGCGTCTTCAGCCGTTTCGAAAGTGCCTAGCCAAATTCTAGTCTTCCTGTAGAGACGAAACGTTTCTATTAGTACAGAGAACTAAATCAAAACGTGGGGTAGTGTAAAACCATTTTACGGAATTTTTAAGTGAAACTTACAACAGTGGGTGACGAATTTCAGATACCCAAGAGCCCCAATGCCTTTGTCTAACACCTCTGTAACGCTGTTGAGGTCTGGCCATGTTAGTGAAAGCGAAACGTTTCTTGAGAAAAGTGTTTGCGAGAATGCCTGAGTGAGAAGAAATTATGCTAGAGAATGGAGAGCAGAGGTGGGTTTTTGTAGTTGTGTTTCTTGAAAGGGATTGAAGATTTCTTTTCCTGTCCTTCTGGCACCCAATTTGAGGGGTCCCACTTAATTTTTTAGGTCATTTTTTTTTTTCCCAAATTTTTTTAAAATCAGTTTCCAGTTGGCTTATTTGGAAGTGATGATTGTTGAATAAATTGGTCTTAAGTGAAATTTCAAACTGACCAAGTTCAATTCACATGCCAACAATTATAACTTCTGTTTCCAAAAAAAAAAAAAAACAGATTTCACAACTGTTCCTTTTATCACCCTCTTCTTTCTTCAATAAAATCTAAGAATGTCATATTCCATTGATTCTTCATGTGAGCCCAATTTAAGTTGGGATAATGACACCATCCATCAAACCTCTTTCTGGTTAATTTCTACATAAACTATGAGACCCAAATCCTTTGAAACAGTATCTTAAGGTTCTGAATATATATTTAGTATTAGGGTCCTCAATTGGATCAGCTAATATGATTTAGTCAATCCTTTCTTGGACACATCGATTAAAGAATCTTAGACCATAATAATTACCTAACAATTTGTATCATTTGATCAACTTTCAATTACTGTTTTCAAACCAATTTGCTTCTTATACAATTCAGAATTGCTTTCAAGATGACCAACTACTATTTAATAGATCAAGATCAAAAGTATTTGACGGCAGCACAACATAGTTTATTTATATAAAATCAGGTGGTGGGCACTATTTCTTATAATAGTTTATCATTCTCATGCAATCCCAACAATGGAGTATCGATGATCCATCTTTTGCTTAGTCTTGTATTGTATTTTTGTATAGTCATCTCATGTCTGTTCACCCACGTGCTAACATTGCTCCCTTCCATACTCCCTGCATACGCACAAAAACATGATGAAGGGCAAACCTAAATGGCTTTAGATCATTGCGAGATGAGAACTAAGAAACCATTGAAATTCGGATCCCCTTCAGCCATAACTACCAGCACCCATTTCTGACTTTTTTTTTTTTTTTTGTTTTTGGCCTTCCATTTAAACAAACCTATCCACATGGGAAAGATTAGAATCGTGTACGTGATTTTAATTATACACATTTTTTTCTTCATTCATCTGACAAAGATTTCCAGTAATCAGCAATTTGGTCTCTGTCTTCTTATTACCTGCCAGACTTTGTCAGTTGGCTTTTCTTGTCAAGTTGGCAACTACCAGTTTAACGTTTTGCTCCAGTGTGAATCTTTCAGCCATTAATGGACCATGAAAATGAATCAATCCTTTCTTGAACTGTACATCAAATGCTGAAACGAATGATCTAAACGGCGATGGCTTGAGGTTCACATGTAAACAGGAAGGCAGTGAAGTGAGAATTTTCAAAAATAATTAAGATATTATTATTATTATTATTAACAACGGTTAGATTTTCTTTCTTTTTCTGGTATCTAAAGATGAAGACAATGAAGGAAACAACATAGATGTGTCTGATCTGACGAATTGAAAGATTGAAAGTTTTGTCTGAATCTTGGTTTACAGCTAACGTTAGAGAGGTCAAGAGAGTGACCTCATCAGAAAGAGGACCCCACAAACAAACGCGTTGAATGGGACCCAAAAAGATATTAACGTTGATGTGTGATGAGATGATCACCTTCCGATCTCATCTAATCTGATCTCCCACCCTTCATTTCACGGCAATTAATTTCTCTCGGCTTCTTCCTAATCCCATAAGATCACATGCACACACATACAGGTTCACAGACTAGATCAGTCATCCATTGAACAAATAAGAAAAGTTTGAGAAATTAAAATAACATCATGTTCGGGTTAGAACATGGAATATCTCTATCAATCACACAAATTGTTTGCGTCATCTAATTGAAAGTTTATTTATTTACATATTTATTTATTTATCATAATTGAATTATAATATTAAAAGTGTTTGATTTATGTCGTATCTATAGACACATAGATGGATTCACAGAGGTATTGTCTGCCATCCTCACCACCAAAAGACGTTTTTTCAAAATAAAATTGTGCCGATCCCATAACCTAAAATGGACAATACCTCTGAAAACTCATCCATCGTATGTCTGGATCCAACATACATAAACAATAAGTATATGATTAAATAGTTATAATATGGGGAAATTTGAGAAGATTTTGGCTAGTCTTGCGCTGAATAAGAGTCAAGAAAGGGATTAATTAACAGTTAAGAAGACGCGGTTTCTTTAATAAACAAGAAAGGGTGTGAGTGTGATTATGAAATATTGAAGGCGATGTGATTGAAATGTTGTGTCGTTCCAAGTACCCTCCGCAGTCTATGGGATTTGCCCAGTCTGTTCTTTGAAAAAATTTTAAGCTCCCCATATCATATTATCATTAAGTTTCCATGAAAAAGGATGCCTCCAAACTCCATGTGCATTTTCACTGTTCATTTCTTCTCACCTCCCCCACTATTTGCTTATTCAACAAATTAACTAAATCTCATACGATTATCAAGAAATTAGGATCTAAATTAGAGTAAACGACTTTTTCCTACCCAAATAATGGTTTAATGACACTTTCCTGCCTACAGACTTTTAAAATACTATTTTAGTACTTAAATTTATTTTCCGTTTCTGACTCTGGCATCGTTGTGATCCTACATCATCACTATTCTCTTCTCCGATCATCACTCACTAAAACCCCTCAAACCTTATTCTCGTTGATCCTGTCAATTGTTGACAATCAAGCGATTAGGGTTTGCACAGTCACCCCTCCCAAGTCAAATTCCGATCAATCCCAACCACCAAAATCCAACCTTTCATCACCAAAAAACTCATTCTTTCAAAAGCTCTAGCAACTTGGAACGAGTTTGCTCTCTTCTTGTCGTAAAAATGTAAATGTTGGTAGTAAAATGGTATTTTAAAAGTTTGTGAGTAGGAAAGCGTCATCAAACCGTTATTTGGGTTGGAAAAAGTTGTTAACTCTCCAAAGTTAGGATCCTTTTTAGTAAACCTCGGAAGGTAAACCTTTTAGCCATTAGGGTTAATTATACATGAGAGGTTTTGTGTTCAAATTGAAGGAGAGGTACTTATCACATTTGTGCAATTACCTTAATCCATCGACCTTGTAAGTTATTTCGTGGCCGTAAGGATTAGGCGGACTGGTGCTTGGATACCTCAGATACTAAAAAAATAAATAATAATTAACTTGATCAAGTCAATAATACCATTGAGATTCTTGATAATCGTTGGATTGATATGATAAAGAAGAAGAAGAAGAAGAAGACGGCTACAAGTTGCAATGGGAATGGTCAAGTTGAAGCACATGTTGATAGGTCCTGATTTAATGGGTAATTAAGGGGAAAGCATGTGGTTGAATACCTTAAACATTAATTAACAAATGAGAAGAATAGTGTTGTGACCTTGACATTTTTTTGTTAAATTAGTGGCAAAAATGTAACGATTTATAAAAACAACAATGTCATTTTCAGGCCATGTGCTAGTTGGGGAAAATTACGACTTGAAAACACTAATTAATTTAATGGCAATCTTATTTTCAACTCCGCGTTATTTGCTATAATTCTATGCCATATCATATTCTTCGTAATGTTACATTTATTAAGCTTTTTATTATTATTATCATATTACATGTGTAAGAGTATTAAATTAATTTATCATATGGTTAGAATGAGTTAACTCCATTCAAATTTTGACTTTAGTATAAATTAAAGCTCATTCTTTTACCGCATAAATTAAAGGGCTTTTATTTCTCAATGGGCGGCCCATACAGGGCTAATCTATGGGCTGAGTGTGTACAGGTATTGGACTCCTTCGCCTGCAGAGGATTGCAGATTTAAAGCCCATAAACATTATACATATTTTAGTTACACCTATTTATTAATAAACATATATTATTATAGTTAATGCTACACTAACAAACCATTCTTCATAACTTTCTCTCACCAACGTGAAGTTTTAGTTTGTGATTGATTAGTTCATAATAGATCTTATCTGACCAAATACAATCTGATTAATTGCGAGTTGTTACTTCAAGTTTGTGAGAGAAAGTTAATGAGAAATGTTTGTCAGTTTATCTTTATTCATTATCATATCCTTTCAATAAAACTGTTGTTTCATTGCAACGGTGTGGATCCTTGAAATTAGAAAACTTTTCGAAATTTTGCAATTATTTTCATTAGTCAGTTTTTAGAAATTTTTATAAGGTGGTATGTGTGGGATAAGAGGAAAGGCTTGAGCATTAAAAGGTAGGAGATGGGCGTCTGTGGGTCGGCTATCATAGTTTCCCACAAGCTTAACATTCTGATTGCATCTATGTGGGGGCCTAGCACCCCTTTTGGCTAATTAGAGTTAGATAGCGCATTGAAGAGGTTGAATTTCACAATTATGAAATCCTCTACTTCTGTCCGTTGGTAATGCTGATTGGGGATGTAAAAGACTGCATTGTCTTTGTCATCAGTATGAATACAAAGTTGCAAAAATCCAGCTTTCATATTAAATTTGGATGACTTTTTTTATTTGTGTCATTGACTCACTGTTACATTATAATTTTAGATAATAGGTTTATGAATTTTTTCCATTTTTTTCAATTTATTGATGATTTAAAACATTTTTATAGATTAGAGCATGGTTTAAGTGATTGCAGGTATTCATGATTTCATGCTTTTAATTATGCTTCATAAGTTTGAAAAATCCAGTAAAAGAAGTGAGAATGTGATTAGGTTTATATTTATTTTGTCTTGTTCGTGGTACCTCTAGCTCTAGGTGTGAATGTGAGAAAGTCAGCCAAATAGGTTAATTATATATAGCAAAGAACATAAATAATAAATAAATTTTTAAGTGATTCATAAACATTGGTACAAACATATTAGTACATTGAATATATATTTACTAGTAAATAATATCATACAAAATTCTGTGCCCAAATCGATGGCTTTAGTTTTGAATTTCAAAAAGTTGGAAAATTTGTTGAGTTGTTAAACTAGTAATTTACAGATATCGACTATGATATTAAACAGCGATAAAAAATAAGCAAAGGAATAAACGATCGCTGGTAAAAAGTAGTGGAGGTTCATCCAGACAATCGCTTCCTCCTGTAAGTGTTGTATTGTATACAGAAGGAAAGAGAGAGCAGCCATGCCTCAATCTTATTCATTATCAAGCTTCCCTCCAAGGTATCATAATATTTCAGGGCGATAAAAATTAAGCGAAGGAATAAACGATCGCTGGTAACAAGTAGTGAAGGATCATCCAGACAATCGCTTCCTCCTGTAAGTGTTGTATTGTATACAGAAGGAAAGAGAGAGCAGCCATGCCTCAATCTTATTCATTATCAAGCTTCCCTCCAAGGTATCATAATATTTCAGGGCGATAAAAATTAAGCGAAGGAATAAACGATCGCTGGTAACAAGTAGTGAAGGATCATCCAGACAATCGCTTCCTCCTGTAAGTGTTGTATTGTATACAGAAGGAAAGAGAGAGCAGCCATGCCTCAATCTTATTCATTATCAAGCTTCCCTCCAAGGTATCATAATATTTCAGGGCGATAAAAATTAAGCGAAGGAATAAACGATCGCTGGTAACAAGTAGTGAAGGATCATCCAGACAATCGCTTCCTCCTGTAAGTGTTGTATTGTATACAGAAGGAAAGAGAGAGCAGCCATGCCTCAATCTTATTCATTATCAAGCTTCCCTCCAAGGTATCATAATATTTCAGGGCGATAAAAATTAAGCGAAGGAATAAACGATCGCTGGTAACAAGTAGTGAAGGATCATCCAGACAATCGCTTCCTCCTGTAAGTGTTGTATTGTATACAGAAGGAAAGAGAGAGCAGCCATGCCTCAATCTTATTCATTATCAAGCTTCCCTCCAAGGTATCATAATATTTCAGGGCAGGGTATGTATGTTTCTCCTTTCTCCATCACTCTCAGTCTCAACCTTTTGATTATGTTCTTGACTATTTCTCTTCTTTACATTTGAAGTTATCGAATATACGAGGAAGATAAGAATAAATATGCTTATCTTCATCTTGGTGGAGATTTTATGTTTGATTTTTCGATAATACCAAAGCTGTAATTAGTGGTTAACGTTTAACATTGTAAATTTGTAATTAAATAAATTGCATGCACACCGACACGTACGTTTATCTTAAAGAAAGATTCTTATTTCGTATTCATGTTTGCTTTTTCCGGGTTGTGTTGTAGCACTTGAATCGGCAGTGAGACAGGAACGTTGCACTCAGCTGAGCTGTTGGAAGGCGATCAGAAGTTCAAACACAGCTTCGTTCATAGAAGCCAGTAATATTAATAGAAACAGAAAGAAAATAATAATAAACAACGTCAATTTTAAACCACTCAAGAGATACTTTATTAATCGTGTCACGTTACAAGATGGTTATGCCTCAAAATCTGAGGATGATGGTGATAACGCAACCAGCTTTCTGGAGGTTTTTTCCCAGAAACTTAACGCATTTTATCGTTTTAGTCGGCCTCATACCGTTATTGGCACTGTGAGTTCCTTGAAAGTACTACCCTTATTAAGTGTGGTTAAAGATCGATTCATTTATATATTTATTTTTGTTTGGTCAGATTATAGGGATACTATCGGTTTCCCTTCTTCCGGTAGTAAATGTTGCTGATTTGACTCCCATATTTTTCATGGGATTATTGAAGGTAACATGATTATTTTAGGTAACAGTCAAGTCTAAGAGAGAAAACAAAACAAAACTGCTTATGATGATTATTTCAAATTTGAATAATAACATTGATCGATCCTTGTTGATATTCCAGGCTTTGGTGCCATCAATATTGATGAATATTTACATTGTGGGTTTAAATCAGTTGTTTGATGTTGAAATAGACAAGGTATAACTGGTAATTCATTATTGTATTCATGCATGATGCAACAGCAGTAACACTTATAGGATTATTTATCTCAGTTTATTGTTAATGTTCACAGGTTAATAAGCCTTATCTTCCCCTCGCCTCTGGTGATTTCTCGATGGGAACAGGAACTGCAATTGTTTCCGCGGCTTTATTGATGGTAAGCAGATTGGCAGCAATCTTCAAATTCCACTGCTTTTTTAACAATCCATAACTGTGTTTTATAAATTAATATTAAATTGTTTTCCTCGTACAACTTTGTGGCCATGTTAGGGGGTGGTTAGATTGAATAATACAATATGCACTATAATTATTTATGTTTCTTTAGTTATTAATTAATCTGTCTAACTGTAAAACCATTTTCTGTTAGCAATGTTCCTCTTAAAATTTTCTTACCTGATCTCAATTTTCAGAGTCTGGGTATGGGGATTATTTCTAAATCTCCACCACTGGTTTTTGCTCTCCTCATAGGCGGTCTGCTTGGAACTGTTTATTCCGTCGAGGTAACTGCTTTACAAAGCCAAATGAAATCATCAAATCAATTATATTATTCCGTTCTGATGAGACTGCTTAATGCGTTGTGGTTCTTCTTGTAGCATCCCTTTCTTAGATGGAAGAGACACCCATTTCTGGCTGCAAGTTGCATCCTGTTTGTGAGGGCACTTGTAATTCAACTTGCTTTCTTTATACACACTCAGGTTTAATTCATCAATCCCTTCTTCTATATATTAAATTAATTTATTCGTAACTGATGATGAAGCTGTTCATACATCCAGAAATATGTGCTTGGTAGACCTATAGTAATCACAAAATCATTGTTATTTGCTACCGCTTTCATGTGCTTCTTCTCTACTGTTATAGCACTATTTAAGGTAATTCAGAATACTTCCTTCCTTGACATCTTAGTGCTTAATTTCCTAAGCAGTTTGTTTACATATTTACTTGTTTTGGACCCTTAACACAGGATATACCTGATATAGATGGCGACAGATATTTTGGCATCCAATCCTTTAGTGTCAGCCTAGGTCAAGAAAGAGTGAGTATATGTGACTCTGTTTTCAGATTTTCCTTTCTTTTCTAACCAAATGGAAACAGACCGTATTTGTTCACTTACAAATATTAGTTGCCTGGTTTTCTCACTAGGTATTTTGGCTCTGTGTTCAAATGCTGTTGATGGCTTATGGAGCTGCTGTAATGGTGGGAGCTTCTTCATCTTCCCTACCAATTAGCAAGCTTGTCACTGTAAGGAATTGTGCTTTGTTCATTAAGTACTTCATGTAGTATTAATTAATCTCTCATAATTAATAAGGATTCTCTTTCTAATGCAGACACTGGGCCACTGCACACTCGCCTCCTTTCTGTGGCTTCGAACTCGATCTATTGATCTCTCAAGTAAAGCATCGATAACTTCTTTTTACATGTTCATTTGGAAGGCAAGTGATTTCTCTTTTTCTGATCTATCATATGTCTCATCACACACAAGCATATATATCTCCCTCGTTTCTGTATAGCCCCAGACTGACTATTTTTGTTTACTTGATATGCAGTTATTCTATGCTGAGTACTTCCTTATTCCATTTGTACGCTAAGAAGAATTGGATTTTCAAGTGCTTTAAAGCCCCCTTTTCCTTTATTCCTATAAGTTGTAATGTTATTATTATTATCATATTACATGTGTAAGAGTATTAAATTAATTTATCATATAGTTAAAATGAGTTAACTCCATTCAAATCTTGACTTTAGTGTAAATTAAAGCTTATTCTTTTGCCGCATAAATAAAGGGCTTTTCTTTCTCAATGGGCGGCCCATACAGGGCTAATCTATGGGCTGAGTGTGTACTGATATTGGACTCCTTCGCCTACAAAGGATTGCGGATTTAAAGCCCATAAACATTATACATATTTTGATTACATTTATTTATTAATAAACATATATTATCATAGGTCATTCGGGGCATTTTATTAAAAGGTCAAATCAAGTTCAAATTTAATTAAAAGGTCATGTAGTTTGAAAGTGTTAAGTAAATTGTCTTATTATTGATTAAAGTTAATTAAACATGATTAGTGGTTAATTAGGATTAACGAAGTATGGTGTAACCTTTTTAAAATTATAATATGTCCTTAAAGAGCCAAAATTCTTGCAAACAAACCTAAACACTTTCTTCTTCTTCCTCCCACCATTAACGCATCCCTCCCCTGGTTGTTGTTTCTTCTAAGCTTTGTCTACATCTTCTTCTTCTTCTTCTACATCTTCTTCTTCTTCCTCTGCCATTAACACTTTCTTCTTCCTCCACCATTAACACCTTCTTCTTCCTCCACCATTAACATCTTCTCTGCCAAAGATCTGCCTCTTCCTACTCCTAACATTTCATCTAGGAATGTATATCTCCTCTTTGCATTTTATATTTCTATTTACAAAAATTTAATGATGGATTGGGTTTGAGTTATGATTTTGATTTAGTGGTTTAGGTTCTTGGGTTGTGTTTGATGTAATGCAAGTTGAAATGAGTGAGATTTGTTGATGATTTTCTTGCATTGTGCATAGCTGGGGGTGGTAGCACCGATTATAGGTGAAGATCACTGAAAATGTATTATGGAGCTAATGGATCGCTTAAGCGATCTAGTATAAGTCTGGTATATAACAGCAGATCGCTTAAGCGATACTAGAAGTCTGGTATATGGCAGCAGATTGCTTAAGCGATCGGGTATATGGCAGTAAATCGCTTAAGTGATCAGACTTGTTTATACCAGATCGCTTAAGCGATTCTGAAAATATTTTTTAAAATCTATCTAACCCTTAATATATCGGTTAATAACTTTTTTTTTTCCTACATTATAGGCACTTGGCTATTATTAGACATGAGACAAGTTGTTTTGGGTGTTGAATAGTTTTGTGAGTGGCTAGATGTTGTTCCATTTACTTGTTCACTAGTTTCTCTTGGTTGTATGTCAATCTTTTGTGATGTATTAAACTAATTTTATATCATTGTATTTCCAGCTATGCCATCAAGAAGAATGATGAAATCGAGAGAGTTGCCAAGGCCAACCGTTGAAGACTTATTAGCGAATCTTTTGATATTGTGAAGGTTTGAGTGAGAAATTGTATTCCGTAATGTTTATTTAATATTTAGTTCTTTTTTATTAATTATTTATTATTATTAATTATCTTTTTCGTTTCAATAGAATGTGAAAAGAACACTTCGGTCTTTATTGATCAACATCGTACATAAAGCTGAAATGTCTATTGTTATTCTATTATTTTTGTTAGTTCTTGGCAAGAAAGTAATATATAAAAAATATAATATTGATATAAAATTGAACTCTGCAACCATCTGTTTTGCACTCTGTAGACTAAGTCTAAATTGATGTGATCGCTTAAGCGATTAAGGGTAATTTACTTCAATATTTCTTTTCCATGTTTATGGACATATGTTTAATATAGACGTAAAAGAACTAATTTAATTAAAATATAATAACGGTCATGGTCCACTGAACGAATCGTACACCTGATATGTTTAATATAGACGTAAACATTCTACACCATATATGTTTAATATAGCCGTAAAAGAACTAATTTAATTAAAATATAATAACGGTTATGGTCCATTGAACGAATCATACACCTGATATGTTTACTATAGACGTAAACATTCTACACCATATATGTTTAATATAGCCATAAAAGAACTTATTTAATTAAAATATAATAACGGTCATGGTTTACTGAACGAATCGTACACCTGATATGTTTAATATAGACGTAAACATTCTAACCATATATGTTTAATATAGCCATAAAAGAACTAATTTAATTAAAATATAATAACGGTCATAGTCCACTGAACAAATCGTACACCTGATATATTTAATATAGACGTAAACATTCTACACCGTATATGTTTAATATAGCCGTAAAAGAACTAATTTAATTAAAATATAATAACGGTCATGGTCCACTGACCGAATCGTACACCTTATATGTTTAAGATAGCGTTAATCGCTTAACCAATCTAGTGAAATACAATAAAAATAATCCGAATACACTGGATCGCTTAAGAGATTTCATTTCTCACTTAAGCGATCATGTGTATTTAGACTTAGTCTTTTAAGAGATTTGGTTGTATTTATGTTATCGCTTAAGCGATTCTACACTTTTACACTTGGTCGCTTAAGCAATCATGAACAAGACATAATCAATAAGTGCCCAGACGCACGATCGCTTAAGCGATTTATTTTATCGCTTAAGCGATCCTTTGCTTTTAACCTTGGTTGCTTAAGCAATCATAAAAAAACAAAATTTATTAACCGATATATTAAGGGTTAGATAGATTTTAAAAAACATTTGATGAGTCGCTTAAGCGATCTGGTGTATCGCTTACTAGATCGCTTAAGCGATCTGGTATAAATAAGTCTAATAGCTTAAGCGATCTGCTGCCATATACCCGATCGCTTAAGCGATCTGTTGCCATACCCGATCGCTTAAGCGATCTGCTGCCATATACCAGACTTATACTAGATCGCTTAAGTGATCCATTAGCTCCAGAATACATTTTCACCTATAATCGCTGCTACCACCCCCACCTACGTACAATGCAAGAAAATCATTAACAAATCTTACTCCTTTCAACTTGTATTACATCAAACACTACCCAAGAACCTAAACCACATAATCAAAATCATAACCCAAACTCAATCCATCATTAAATCTTTGTAAATAGAAATATAAAATGCAAAGAGGAGATACACATCTCTGGACGAAATGTCAGGAGTAGGAAGAGGCGGATCTTTGGCGAAGAAGATGTTAATGACGGAGGAAGAAGAAGGTGTTAATGGCAGAGGAAGAAGAATGTGTTAATGGTGGAGGAATGTGTTTTGTCTTTCAAATTTTAAACCAACTTCTATTTATTATACTTTAACCCACAAACATTTAAATCTTTTCACCCTAACCCTTTTTGCTGCTTTAAGTACACTTAAGTGTACCAGGTTAGATTTTTTTTTAAAAAAAAAAAATCAAAAACCTTTTCAAGGTTATATTCTCAATTTGAAACTTGGGAAGTCCTATCAGCTAAATTTCCTCAAACCATTCTTCCTAACTTCCTCTCACCAATGTGATGTTTCAGCTCGTAATTGATCAGTTTACAATAAATCCTATCTGACCTAATATAAACTGATCAATTACGAGTTCTTATATTTGTGAACAAAAGTTAATGAGGAGTGTTTATGGGCTTATCTTTATCTATTATCATATCCTTCCAATAAAACTGCTCTTTCATTGCAATGGTGTGGATCCTTGTAATTATTAAACTTTTCGAGATTTTGCAAATATTTTCATTAGTTATTCTTAGATGTTTTTAGAAGATCGTGTGCGTGGGACATGAGGAAGGCCTTGAATATTAAAGCTGAGGAGATGGGCGTGCATGGGTCGGTATCATGGTGTCCCACAAGCTTAACATTCCGATGGCATCTATGTGGGGCCTAGCANAATTTATTAACCGATATATTAAGGGTTAGATAGATTTTAAAAAACATTTGATGAGTCGCTTAAGCGATCTGGTGTATCGCTTACTAGATCGCTTAAGCGATCTGGTATAAATAAGTCTAATAGCTTAAGCGATCTGCTGCCATATACCCGATCGCTTAAGCGATCTGTTGCCATACCCGATCGCTTAAGCGATCTGCTGCCATATACCAGACTTATACTAGATCGCTTAAGTGATCCATTAGCTCCAGAATACATTTTCACCTATAATCGCTGCTACCACCCCCACCTACGTACAATGCAAGAAAATCATTAACAAATCTTACTCCTTTCAACTTGTATTACATCAAACACTACCCAAGAACCTAAACCACATAATCAAAATCATAACCCAAACTCAATCCATCATTAAATCTTTGTAAATAGAAATATAAAATGCAAAGAGGAGATACACATCTCTGGACGAAATGTCAGGAGTAGGAAGAGGCGGATCTTTGGCGAAGAAGATGTTAATGACGGAGGAAGAAGAAGGTGTTAATGGCAGAGGAAGAAGAATGTGTTAATGGTGGAGGAATGTGTTTTGTCTTTCAAATTTTAAACCAACTTCTATTTATTATACTTTAACCCACAAACATTTAAATCTTTTCACCCTAACCCTTTTTGCTGCTTTAAGTACACTTAAGTGTACCAGGTTAGATTTTTTTTTAAAAAAAAAAAATCAAAAACCTTTTCAAGGTTATATTCTCAATTTGAAACTTGGGAAGTCCTATCAGCTAAATTTCCTCAAACCATTCTTCCTAACTTCCTCTCACCAATGTGATGTTTCAGCTCGTAATTGATCAGTTTACAATAAATCCTATCTGACCTAATATAAACTGATCAATTACGAGTTCTTATATTTGTGAACAAAAGTTAATGAGGAGTGTTTATGGGCTTATCTTTATCTATTATCATATCCTTCCAATAAAACTGCTCTTTCATTGCAATGGTGTGGATCCTTGCAATTATTAAACTTTTCGAGATTTTGCAAATATTTTCATTAGTTATTCTTAGATGTTTTTAGAAGATCGTGTGCGTGGGACATGAGGAAGGCCTTGAATATTAAAGCTGAGGAGATGGGCGTGCATGGGTCGGTATCATGGTGTCCCACAAGCTTAACTTTCTGATGGCATCTATGTGGGGCCTAGCACCCCTTTTGGCTAATTAGACTTAAATAGCGCATGGAGGAGGTTGAATTTCACAATTATGGAATCCTTTACTTACTTCTGTACATTGGTGCTGCTGATTGGGGATGTAAAAGACTGCATTGTCTGTGTCATCAGTATGAATACAAAGTTGCAAAAATCCAGCTTTCATATTAAATTTGGATGACTTTTTTGTTTCTGTCATTGACTCACTGTCACATTATAATTTAAGAAAATAGGTTTATGAATTTTTTACATTTTTTTTCAATTTATTGATGATTTAAAACATTTTTATAGATTAGAGCATGGTTTAAGTGATTGCAGGTATTCACGAATTCATGCTTTTAATTATGCATCATAAGTTTGAAAAATCCAGAGAAAGAAGTGAGAATGTGATTAGGTATTTTTTCTTGTTCGAGTATCTCTAGGTGTGAATGTGAGAAAGTCAGCCAAATAGGGTAATTATATATAGCGAAGAACATAAATAATAAATAAATTTATAAGTGATATTAGTACATTGAATATTTACTAGTAAATAATATCATACAAAATTCTGTGTGCAAATCGATGGCTTTAGTTTCGAATTTCAAAAAGTTGGAAAATTTGTTGAGTTGTTAAACTAGTAATTTACAGTTATCGACTTTGATATTAAACAGTGATAAAAATTAAGCAAAGGAATAAACGATCGCTGGTAAAAAGTACAATCGCTTCCTCCTATAAGTTTTGTATTGTATACAGAAGGAAAGAGAGAGCAGCCATGCCTCAATCTTATTCATTATCAAGCTTCCCTCTAAGGTATCACCATATTTCAGGGCAGGGTATGTATGTTTCTCCTTTCTCCATCACTCTCAGTCTCAACCTTTGATTATGTTCTTGACTATTTCTATCTTCATCTTGGTGGAGATTTTATTTTTGATTTTTTGATAATACCAAAGCTGTAATTAGTGGTTAACGTTTAACAGTTTAAATTTGTAATTAAATATTTGCTTTATCCAGGTTGTGTTGTAGCACTTGAATCGGCAGTGAGACAAGAACGTTGCGCTCAGCTAAGCTGCTGGAAGCCTATCAGAAGTTCAAACGCAGTTTCATTCATAGAAGCCAATAATATTAATAGAAACAGAAAGAAAATAATAATAAACGACGTCAATTTTAAACCACTCAAGAGATACTTTATTAATCGTGTCACGTTACAAAATGATTATGGATGATGGTGATAACGCAACCAGCTTTCTGGAGGTTTTTTCCCAGAAACTTAACGCATTTTATCGTTTTAGTCGTCCTCATACCGTTATTGGCACTGTGAGTTCCTTGAAAGTACTACCCTTATTAAGTGTGGTTAAAGATCGATTCATTTATATATTTATTTTTGTTTGGTCAGATTATAGGGATACTATCGGTTTCCCTTCTTCCGGTAGTAAATGTTGCTGATTTGACTCCCACATTTTTCATGGGATTATTGAAGGTAACATGATTATTTTAGGTAACAGTCTCTAAGAGAGAAAACAAAACAAAACTGCTTATGATGATTATTTCAAATTTGAATAATAACATTGATCGATCCTTGTTGACAGTGGCGGATCCAGAATTTTTGTCGAGGGGGGGCCTCTGCGGCTCTGTCATTATTTGCCAAATAACTAGTGAAAACATTAAAAAATCACTAAACCTTAATTAAAAAAATAATACAATAGTAAGAACCTAAGAAAAAAACATATACAATAACACAATATTTTTTTACTTGAATAAATCTATGAGAAGCAAAATTTTGAGTAAAAGTGTTGAGTAAACCTTGAACAAAACCTTCTTTTAATATTTTTATTTTTGGCTTTCAAAGATTACAATATAAATTTTCATAGCGTTGATCAAACTTAGCCTAATTAAGCTAAAGTCAACCAAAACTTAAATCAAGTCAATGTTACGTTGACTTTTAATATGAATTAATAAAAGAGGGGAAATTTTTTTGGTATAAACACAGATAGTAACTCAAATTTCTTTAATAATTTTGAACAACTGAATGGTGACGTTTAAAATGTGGGAAAGTAGTGGGTGAAGGGTGAAGAATAACGTCCTTTAAAATATAGTTAAGGTTTTAATTTGAGAAAGCAGATTCATTCTTAGACAGAAAATACAAAATAAACTCACAAGATTAATATTTTTTTCTCTCAAATTAGAATAAAAAACCTCAAAAAGAAAAAAAATGATTCAATCCTTAAATAAACTAAATTGAAATGAACAATACGCATCCTAAAATCGATAAAACAAAAAATGGAGCTAATTATGACACCTTGAGTAGTGAAAATTTAACAATTTCAGTCTTCAAAAATTTTAAGAGCGAATAACATAAGAAAGAGAAAGAGAGAATAAAGAATTTGGGGATAAAATCATAAAAAAAAAAAAAGGTAAAACTGTGTAGAAAAACACTGAAGAGAGTTTTAAACTTTTAATATGACGTGGGCTTTAAATAAATAAATATATATATATAATAAGTGTTTTTGTAGACCTAGATATACAGTATGTATAATAGTTCTTATGTTTTAAAAATCTGAAAGTGGATCTGGATATATATGTTAATTAACAATTCTTTATGGCCTGTATAATAATAATTTTTTTTCCAAATCTGAGGGTAGGCCCAAGCCTACCCTTAAAGGGGCTGAATCCGCCCCTGCTTGTTGATATTCCAGGCTTTGGTGCCCTCAATATTGATGAATATTTACATTGTGGGTTTAAATCAGTTGTTTGATGTTGAAATAGACAAGGTATAACTGGTAGTTCATTATTGTATTCATGCATGATGCAACAGCAGTAACACTTTAGGATTATTTATCTCAGTTTATTGTTAATGTTCACAGGTTAATAAGCCTTATCTTCCCCTCGCTTCTGGTGATTTCTCGATGGGAACAGGAACTGCAATTGTTTCCGCGGCTTTATTGATGGTAAGCAGATTGGCAGCAATCTTCAAATGCCACTGCTTTTTTAAAAATCCATGACTGTGTTTTATAAATTAATATTAAATCGTTTTCCCCGTACTACTTTGTGGCCACGTTAGAGGGTTGTTAGATTGAATAGTACAATATGCACTATAATTATTTATGTTTCTTTAGTTATTAATTAATCTGTCTAACTGTAAAACCATTTTTCTGTTAGCAATGTTCCTCTTAAAATTTTCTTACCTGATCTCAATTTTCAGAGTCTGGGTATGGGGATTATTTCTAAATCTCCACCACTGGTTTTTGCTCTCCTCATAGGCGGTCTGCTTGGAACTGTTTATTCCGTCGAGGTAACTGCTTTACAAAGCCAAATGAAATCATCAAATCAATTATATTATTCCGTTCTGATGAGACTGCTTAATGCGTTGTGGTTCTTCTTGTAGCATCCCTTTCTTAGATGGAAGAGACACCCATTTCTGGCTGCAAGTTGCATCCTGTTTGTGAGGGCACTTGTTATTCAACTTGCTTTCTTTATACACACTCAGGTTTAATTCATCAATCCCTTCTTCTATATATTAAATTAATTTATTCGTAACTGATGATGAAGCTGTTCATACATCCAGAAATATGTGCTTGGTAGACCTATAGTAATCACAAAATCATTGTTATTTGCTACCGCTTTCATGTGCTTCTTCTCTACTGTTATAGCACTATTTAAGGTAATTCAGAATACTTCCTTCCTTGACATCTTAGTGCTTAATTTCCTAAGCACTTTTTTACATATTTACTTGTTTTGGACCCTTAACACAGGATATACCTGATATAGATGGCGACAGATATTTTGGCATCCAATCCTTTAGTGTCAGCCTAGGTCAAGAAAGAGTGAGTATATGTGACTCTGTTTTCAGATTTTCCTTTCTTTTCTAACCAAATGGAAACAGACCGTATTTGTTGACTTACAAATATTAGTTGCCTGGTTTTCTCACAAGGTATTTTGGCTTTGTGTTCAAATGCTGTTGATGGCTTATGGAGCTGCTGTAATGGTGGGAGCTTCTTCATCTTCCCTATCAATTAGCAAGCTTGTCACTGTAAGGAATTGTGCTTTGTTCTTTAAGTACTTCATGTAGTACTTAATTAATCTCTCATATATAATTAATAAGGATTCTCTTTCTAATGCAGATACTGGGCCACTGCACACTCGCCTCCTTTCTGTGGCTTCGAGCTCGATCTATTGATCTCTCAAGTAAAGTATTGATAACTTCTTTTTACATGTTCATTTGGAAGGCAAATGATTTCTCTTTTTCTGATCAGCATATGTCCCATCACACACTAGCATATATATCTCCCTCGTTTTTGCATAGCCCCAGACTGACTACTTCTGTTTACTTGATCTGCAGTTATTCTATGCTGAGTATTTCCTTATTCCATTTGTACGCTAAGAAGAATTGGATTTTTGAGTGCTTTAAAGCTCCATTTTCCTTTATTCCTATAATATTAGAAGTTATATTTGTCTTATATTACCAATTTGATAGAATGTTATGATGTGTATATATATATATATATGGTTGAATTCTCTTTTCTTTTGGGTTAACTTTTGAGAATGAGTTTAAACTCTCTAAAACTTAAAATGATCAATTGGATCCCGCAAGCTTTAAAATGATCAATTGGATCCCGCAAGCTACAAAGCTAGTTATGTATTGTTATAAAGCGTCATAAGTTTCTCAAATTTATATTATGTATTCTCTACAAATAATTAAATATATTAAATTAAATTAAAATAAAATAAATCTTTAAACCTAAAGAGTAATGCTATATTTACATCTTTTTTTTACACAATTTTCATTACATCATGATTGACATATGTTACAGCCACACAAAATTTTAATTATTTTAAATTTTTAATATTATAATAGAATTTATATTTTTAATTATTTTAAATTTTTAATATTATAATAAAATTTATGTGATTGTAACATATATCACATCATGATATTTATAGAATAGTGTAAAAAAATAGTATAACTGTAGCATTAATCAAACCTAAATCCCCTTTTCATTTTTATTTTCAGTTTTCAGTCTTTGTTCTCTCTGGTCTCCACTCTCCAGTCTCCACCGTCCACCCACACCCCACATTACACTATTACAGATTTACAGTCACAGAGCATTGCCGCAGCAGCTTCGTCGATTCTCTCTAGCTTTGATTTTCCTTCAAAACAGCTTCATTCTCACCTCCGGCAGCAGGAGCAGCTTCGTAGTTCTTCATTCTCACCTCCAGCAACAGCTTTGTCTTTCTTTAGCTCAGTCACTCTCACCTCCAGCAGCAGCTTTGTCTTTCTTCAGCTCAGTCACTCATCTTCTTCAGCTTCGTCCCTCTTCAGATTCGTCATAGAGACACAAACAATCAGATATTCTTTTCCTCTCCACATTCTAAACCTCCAATTAGAGTTGAAATCTTCTCTAAAATTTTTGAATTAAAACGGTTTATTGGATTATCAATATTTTATTTGGTTATCATTTTGAGTTGTCAACAATACAATAATCATATGGATTGCTCTTTCTTAACATTACTGTATTTGACTTTAAAGGTTTTCTTCGTAAGTAACGAAATCTTGGAACTTAAGTGGAAGTTATGAGTGGAATTTAAGTGGATTATGAATCTTGGACTTTAAAGCTTTTCTTCATATTAATCTTGGAATTGGAGTTTGAATCTTCTCTAAAATCTTCAGGCATGGTTGATGTTAGGTGTAACACCAAAAACAAAAGAATATTATTTGATTGTGATTTTTAGAATCAGAGAATTGATTATTAAGATTTTAGTGTAAGGAAAACTAAGATTTTACAAATGTGTAGTAGATGATATTACAACTCTGCACTTAAACGGTTTAAATCAGGGAAAATTAAAAAATAATAATAATAATAATAAGTTTAAGAGGAAAACCGGTTAATTGGTTTTTTCTAAGCGGTTAGGTTTTGGTTCAGGAAAATTTCTGAACCAAAAAACTGATTCGGTTCAAGAAATTGGTTAACCGATTTTGAACACCCCTAATTGCAATAACTTGGAGAAAGTTCGCTGGTTCCATAATTTCATTTTTTATTTCAAAATATAAATACAACAAACATATGCCGTTAGGAATGTTGGTTCACAGTTGGATACGAGAGGAAATGTATGGCTGATTTGTTGTTGGCAATAATTTGGGACCTAAGAACGGTTAAATGGGCTGTTTATGTTGGGACCCAAGAAGCCCAACTTGCGAGTCGGTCCAGACTAGTCCAATTATCCGAGTGCCCTATAATATAAAAAGCACATTTCCTTCCCGTTCGGGTTTTTACGATTAGGGTTTTCGCTACTGAGAGTTTGTCTCCCACTCGGCAGCCGATCGAAGAGAAGCGAAAATGGTAATACTCTCTTCATCTTTCTTTTTCTCGGTAGAATTAAGTGATTGTTGGTTTGGGTTTTTGATCTGTAATTGATATATTACATGAATATATCAACAGCCGTCACACAAGACTTTTATAATCAAGAAGAAACTGGCCAAGAAGATGAGGCAAAACAGGCCTATCCCTCACTGGATCCGCATGCGTACCGATAACACTATCAGGCATTTTTTCATTCTCTTATTTATCTTTATGTTGAAACTGTATTAAGAACGATGAGAGATATCTAACTGTTGTTCTTTCTGTTGATTTTATTTTTCAGGTATAACGCAAAGCGCAGGCACTGGCGTCGTACCAAGCTTGGATTCTAAGGTGTTTGTTCGGATGGATCTTTTGTTGATCTGTTTAAGCTTATTTTAAAGTAATTTAGAGTGTTTAGTTGTCTTAAAGACCATGGTGATACAAGCTTTATGCTTTGTATTCAGTTGAGAAAAAACGCATTTGTATACGGAACTCATAAGACTCCTTAATGTTTTGGGCTTTTATTATTGTTCGGAATTTGTTCCTTCAATTTATACTTAAGTTCCTTTTTCCTTTTAGTTAATTCAGTTTTGTTCAAGTATTAATGCCTGTGGAAATTATCGAAGTTTATATGTTTGTTATTACTGATGGGTTCATATAGGTTGATTTTTTGATTGTATCTCCCAAAGCTGGTTTGGCCTGTGTTGCAGTTCATGTTTGTAATAATGGTTTTTGGTTATTCAACTCTTTAACTGAAGATTGATAATTCTCTGTAGTTTAGTGATACCACGGGTTAATCATAGTCTGTTTCTTTTTAGCTATCAGGCCTCTTTCTATTGTGCAACTGAAATTACTAGGATATTACATTTGAACTGTCATTTGATTATGAAATACGAATATACTAGGCATGTTTTTGTATGAGATAAGAATATAGAGGGGAAGAATTAGATTTGTTGTCAAGTATAAAATAGGTTTATACTAGGCATGTTTATCTTTCTTTTTCTGTTTTTTTTATGCTTGTATTTCAAGAAGTAATCTGCCGGAATCGAATGCACCTGGATGGGTTGTTTCTCCTGGTTTGTCACTCGGGTAAAAAAATTGTTCTTAGGTTGACATCTGTGGATGAGTTGCTTGCATGTTTTACGGGCTCTGACCGATATGTTAATGTTAAACTTTTAGGTTTGCCTTTCTAAGTAATGCTAAAATTTATGGCTTAGTGATTTCGATTGCTTCAGAGGAAGTTAAAAACCTTTAGTCGGAGATGAAGTAGCTCAGCAGTTAAAATGCTCATGGTCATACTTTTCCATTCTTGACTCGTGTAACTGAATTTTCAAAGAGACAGAGGGAAGGAACAAAATAGTTAACTGCTTGGTATGATTCAGTGGACAGGGGAAAGCTGATTGTGCGCGTTAAGGTTGTTACTTATGATTTTTAGTTGGAGTGATAAAAGTTGGTAGATGTATATGCACATTGATATTGCACAGCGAAGAGTCGTCGTCTTCGCAAATCTGGAATAGGACACAGTAGTTATACCTTCACTTTTCTATTTAATTTCCTTATTTTCAGTCAAATAACTCCTCTTACTATGGATAGAAATATATAGCTGCTCAATGGAAGGCCAAATGTTATATGGGCATGTCTTCACCATTGACCAGTTGGCGGTGTGCGCAGTCGCGGGCTCTTCACATCTTGTTTCGATATGTCAAGTGCACAGTAGCTTGTATTACAAACTTCCCAAATAATAATAATAATAATAACTTCGACTAATTGTAGAGAACATTTTCTATCATTGATCTTCATCAATAAAATTCTTCTCTAACTGAACACATTTGGTTAAGAGAATGTTAGATTATTAGGAATATTGAATTATTGGAAAGTTAGATTACATTGAAGATTATTGGGAATGTTTAGGAAAATATGTATGGTTAGGAGAAATAAATTGGTGAGTATGTTATTTAAATTATTAAATTGTCTTTTAATTAAATATTATTATTATTATTATTATTATATTATTTTTTAATATTGATTATTATTCAAATTATTATAACCACCTGCATTTAAAATCTTAACAAAAACAATTTCATAATAAAAGTTTTAAAAATCAACAAAGCACTCTCACCAATCTAACCATTGCCAGTCGTTGAAAACCACCGCAGGTCATCGACAGTTGACAACCTAACGGCTCATGGAAGGCAGGAAATGGCCTTCGTGCATCGTATGGTTATTTCCGGCTAGAGATCTGGCCGTCAATGGCTAGATCTGACACGATCTGGCCATTTTCGGTTAGATATCTAGTCAAATGGTCATATCAGCGTACGGCGGTCATTTTCGGCCTTTCGTGTGTCATTTCGGCGGCTATTGGTCATGGCGATAGTTGCCGACAGCAGGTGGGTGGGGGTGATGGCTTGGGTGGGTTGCAATTTGTTTTGAATTCAAAGGTAATTTTGTTTAAAAAGTTAATTAATTTGGATGTAATAGTAATTCATATATATAAATTTAAAAATAAGGGTATTATTGTTTTAAAATTTTATTAATAAGGAATAGAATTGTAAAAAAAAAAAAAAAACTACCCTGGTAATCTTAGAATACCTAAGAAAATTGAGGTAAGCAAATTACTTCCAATATTACTACTAGGGGTGTTCAAAAGCGGTTAACCATCTTTTCTAAACTGAATCGAATTTTCGGTTTGGGAATTTTCCCGAACCGAAACCAAACCGATTTTAGGAATAACCGGTTTTGAACCGGTTTTCCCTTTTTTTTTTATGAAACTTTTTTTTTTTAATTTTGTCTTAAATTAAATTGTAAATATAGACAATACATTGGAAACTAAGGAAAAAAATTTAGGTTGGGATTTTAGATTGAGTGAATTAGAGATTTATTTTAGTTTAGGTTATTATTTATTTATTTAATATAATATATATATTTGAAAAACCGGTTTAGAAAACCGGTTTTCGATTAACCGTTTCTAATTTCTCCCGAACCGAAAATTCAGTTTTTTAAATTTTTCGAACCATAACTGAACCCTTTTTTTGGTTGACCGATTTTTCAGTTCGGTTCAGTTTTTGTATTTTTTTAAACACCTCTAATTACTACCAATAAATACTATTGATATTTGAAGATTATCGAAATCTTATATTATTTGACAATCAAATATAGTAATCAAATAATATAAGATGATATAACTTTAATAATCTCACGTTTTCTCCAACCAAGCGTCTCCTTAGTGCAAGTGACAGATCTTAATAATCCAGATTAATCTGGATTACTCTGGATTAAGACCATCCATATTTTTGCAGTTACAACCACATAACCAACTCATTGAAATTAGTCGCATGGGATCCATCCGACCCGAAAAAGTCCGCTCTTAACACTAGAATTTAGTTGGGCCGAACGTGGCGCCACTCATTTGCTGACAAATGGCAGTCCAAAGTTACCTTTTACTCCGTTAACACCCAACATCGCCCATCGCTTACTACTTACTACTCAAACCAAACCTTTTATGACTTAAAAAGACTATTTCACCCTTGATCTTCAGCACACGGATATAGCAATGACAACTACTTCTCCTCACTGTATCAGCGTCGATTCAAACGCTACTTTGTCACTCTAAAGATCACACCAGTCTTCTCCTTCGTACTCATCGACACATCCATCTTTTGCTAGGTGAAATTTCATTTGATATCGCAATCTGATACCTTCTCGATATATTTGTTTACATATTTCGCTTTGTAGATCACGCATACATTAGAATTGATTTGGTTATATCTTCATAAAATCTTATTGTTCCTCTCGTTGATTCGTAACAGTTGAAACCAGATGGCTTCAACAATGCTTTCTGTAGCTTCAGCATCTCCCTCGGCTTCGCTTTCGATGCACGATACTCTCAAGGTACTGCTAATTTATATGACTCTGTTTCACTTTTCTGTTTAGTTCCTGATGAAAAATGTTGCTGACGTGAATCACATCAATCTCTTGTCCGTTGNAAAAAAAAAAAAAAAAAAAAAAAAAAAAAAAAAGAGGGTCAGTCAAATAGCAATTTAAAGGCTGATTTATTTATTTTAGGTTTATATCTCTTCAAGATTTAAGATATAAGACGTTTATTATTGTTTGTTTACCGTTTGTTTTCACATAAATACACCTATATTAAAAAGTCTTTATCTTAAATTAAAAATTTATAACTACCCAAACTATACAAGAATATACTTTATCTTCATTAAACACTTTACTCGGATTATTTAAAAAAAAAGGGCCGACTCATAGTAGTGGTTTGCTCCTTCTCAACAATTTCTATCAAACTTGTCCACACCAATACTTAGAGAGCTTAAATTCTTGTCATAAAACAATCTATCCAACTATACAGGTTTTTCCAAATAAGAAAGCGATATTTTACCAAATGTCTACTCTCTTTTATCACTACATCCCATTTCATTTTTAAGTGATACTTACACAATTTAGATGAATCTTCTAAGATTATCATTATGATATCAATAAATTGAATGCACCATAAACATATAATTAGCACATTCTCAAATTAGTATACACAAAATAAATGTATATTAGGGTAAGGTTGTGTATGATTATAGATTATGACCATAACTTTCAAAATTAATTTTCACCATTAAAATCAAGGTTAAACCTTGAATAATTAGTAGAAAACAAAGGAATAGTAGGAAACAAGAGATGTTAAGGAAAAAGCTACAATATTATTTTCACAATCAGTAGACATAAATAGCCAATATACAAGCCTTAGATCTTAAAGTTTATGATCCAGAATAATAACTATAATTATCTAGATACAAAATACAGAACAATAGTCTATCTTATACAGCTACTAAAGATAAGAGACTTGATTTCTCAACATAATTAAAATATTAAATTAACATTGCACAGCCACAATCAATGATAACAAAAATTAAATGAGTGAGTAAGGGGATGTTGCTTTCTTTTCTTGGATGCATACCTTCCTTCTTTATTGTTAGGCATTTTTGTTCTTATTAATTCAATAATTCTACAGCTGAAAGCCTCCCCGCAAACCATCCTGGACCACTCATCTAACCAACCTTTAGGCCAATTATTTTAATTTCTACAAAAAAAAATATATATATATTTGTTTTTCTCACCTTAATATACATATAATTAAAACTATGATACCATATTTCAGCCTTTGCAAAACATTTAATATGATTTGCACAGTTAATTCATCTTAGAAATGACAAGTTAAATACAATTTGTAGTATCAAATGCATTCATTTGGAACCACTCACACATATGTAAAGTGACATTTGTCACTCCTATAATTTGCTTAGAACTGTAAGCGATGGTAGTGGTTGTTTCTATTGACTTTACTGATAACCGGTGACAATTATAGTAAGAAATTGTCGAATCTAGAATAAGGAGGTTTGGGAAGCAGGAAATTTGGTGTTTTCATTGGAAAATCAAAGTGAAAGTTTTGAACCTAAATTTAAATAAAGTTTTTGGGCAATGTGAGGTGAACAGACAAAGGTGAATAATAGACTCTATAATGATGATGAATGGAATTTACTTGTAGAGGTAAAAAGTGTATCAGGAATTGATCATTGTGATTTAATTTGATCCTTCTAACACCGAGTGCTCGAGTGAAATTTTTTAGATGAAATGAATAAATAAACACACGAGAATCCCATCTTCAAACAAATTCATTGCATTTTCTGTAATTGTGCTCAACAACCAATAACGCATATGGAAGCATAAAGGACAAAAGGCATGTAAGACTAAGACCTTTACTTTTACTGCATTTTTTTTTCTATGGTTGGGATTAAGAATCTACACATCCATTGGGTTGGCATATTTAGTGCTTTATAAAATGATTTTGCTCAAATTAATTTAATTAATTTGCTTAATTATTAGCTAAAAAATTCATTTGAATACTGTTAATTAAAAAGACTTTATACGCTTATCCATGGGTACTGACTTTTTTTTCGAGGTAAGCATTTGACTTCATTTCCAACTTTAAGAAATAAAATTTAATTTTCAAACTGTACTTGGAAACATGGTTTTTAGCATCTTACGATACATGATACATATCTTACGATACAATTCGATACGAATCGTTAATAATACGTATAAGAAAGCGTATCATAAACCTTTCGATACGTTGATATATATCCTACGATACGATACGTACCTATTCGTATCTTTAAAAATATCAATATGATTTCATTAATTTGGACCAAAAGCCCAAAAAAATTTCCGGTCGGATATAGGTCACCCAACCTGGTTCACTGAAATCTGTCTAAATTTACCTATTTTGCATAGAGAAAGTGAAAATGAACATGTGTTGCCCATTTTGCATGATAATAATAATACAAGTGAAGATATAGATATTGACATTGATTTTGAAAATGATATGAATAATTGAGAGAAAATGATATATATTTTTAATTTTGTGATTAATTTTGATTACGTAATACCATAACTTGAAGCCAATAATACCACAAAATTCTTTAATTAATCTTTGGAATAATAGTAATTTTTTTGAAAATAGCGTATCCTATGATACAATACAATACGCGATACAGGTTTTCGATACACGATACGATACGAGATTTGACAACCATGCTTGGAAATGGTTATACATTATAAAATAATCACAAATCTAATATTTAAGTCTCCAAACCTGATCAATGCCATCAACCCATAAGAATTTTCCCAAATTAAATTATACACTCAAATCTTAGACCAAAATCAACCTTATCAGCAGTTGTTCTAGTGTATAATTTGTGCCATTTGAACCCGAGTCCATAATTTTACCTGAAGAAGAGGCAGTCAACAGTCAACACAATCTAACATCTCTGAAATGGTGACAAGAGATTCATATAATTTTCTTTCCAACAGTCATAATATTGATGAATCCATAAACTATTAAACAAAAAAGAAAGAGAGAGCACATGCACCTGAGCATGAATTAGACATGGTGATAAAAATAGTAAGATTTATTCATAAACGAACTACAGTTAGAAGTGCTTATCAAAATACAAAAAGCATAACTTATTCCTCAAAAATGTCTAAAATTTGTACCCAATGGATTCCATATACCTTCCTGAAAAAAAAAAGCTTCCTCGACTCAGCATGCTAGGCATGAAACAAACTCAGGCATTTTTCTTCACCTCAGCAGACTTGATAATGTCAATGAACTCCGGCTGGAATGAAGTTAGCAAAAGAAGCACCAAATATAAAGTAAGAGAAACTTGAGTATATAGGGAGCAAAAAGAGAGAAGGGAACATCATCTTTACCTTCAGAGAAGCTCCACCGACCAAAAATCCATCAACATCAGGCTGAGCTGCCAATTCCTTGCAGTTTGCACTGTTTACAGATCCTGAAACAGGCATTCAACTAAGTAATTACAAATATATACATATAAAAATACATGTGAGAGTCATTAAACACTTTTTGAAACTAGTAATCTTAGTTTGCATTATCACCACCCTTTAGAACTTAGAGAAAGAATGCCTTCGTTAACACAATGCGGAAGGCTCATTTTTAAGATTTTGATGTCCCACATAAAGTTTGAATCAATCAATTATAGGTAATCTTGTCTTTCGAATGTTAGCCTTAACTATTACCTTCAGCGCTTTAGCAATGTACACATACTATCATTATGTTGATTTTTATACAACCAGCCATTACTGGCCCCTCATCCAAGGACAGAGATCTCAATGATGAAACTGTTAAACTTAGCATAACTGGATCCTTAGAGAGTTCCTTATATTAATGACGCACCAAAATAAAGTTCCCTTTTGAAGTTTAGCTTCAACTTGATCATTTAACAGATCATTCAATAGGTGGGGATGTCAACATAAAATTCTATAAACATCTCAGCATTTTCTACAAATTCTTCCTTTTTTTCTGCTCTAGGTTTCAATGTATAAAATCCTTATTTTTCTTCAAGAAATAAAAGATTGAAAATTCATTAAGAAAGATAATTGAAGAACTAAAAGCCAAAATATTAATTACGTTGTACATTGCAAAACAACTGAAAGGCAGTATAAAGAAAATTTCGCATAAGGGACAAATAAGAAGAGATACCTCCATAGATTATCCGGGTTGTTGCAGCAACCTCAGGACTGGTGTTTGCATGAAGCCATTTCCTGAGTTCCGAATGTACCTATTACAAAAAAGAATAAAGCAGAAATGAAAACCATTAATCATGAGAAATCCAGAACTTTATACAAAAATTCACATTATTGCTAAAATTTGGCACACAGAGTATGACTCACGTACTCTTATCCTATCAATCAGATGCACCAAAAAGGACACAATCAAAATGATCACTGTCCTAACACTCATAATAAATGAGACATTAAAAGAATATATCCCAAATTGCATAAATGTTGTAGATATACCTTGTCTTTTCTTTACGTAGTTTTATTTTTTCAAACATTTTTTTTACCCTTAACCCACCCAGTGGCGGATTTACTTAATGACGAGTGGGGACCACGGTCCCCACTCAAACTTTAAAAAACTTTAGATTGTATACATATTTATATTTAGTTGCATTTTACCCCCTATAAGACTTTGACATTTTGCCCCCACAAATTTTTTTATTTATTTTTTGCCCCCATCGAATGAAATTCCTGGATCCGTCACTGAACCCACCCCCCCTCATGCTCCTAGTGTAACAATATTCTGCAATGTTAATTTCATAATAAGTTGCTCCGTTCCATTCTGCAACCTCAGTTTCCTAAAACACAAAAGCTCAAAATTGTTTCCCTGAACAATCTCCCAGGAGTTCTCTAGGTTACCCAAACACAGAGTAAAAAGGCAACAGAAACAATGCTTCATCCAAAGTAAAGCAAAGGAAGTGAGAGTGTATTCAATTTAAAAAAGATGATAACTTCAACAAATAAGGTGAAGGTCTGACTCACTTCCTGAGCTTGAGCTGGAGTAGCAACTTTCCCACTTCCAATAGCCCACACAGGTTCATAGGCCAAAACAATATTTGACCAGTCTGAGACTCGCTCTGCCATCAGAAAAAGAAACGACGATCAAAGGATGACCCAGGAATAAACCAATCATTACCAACTATCAACACAACCTTTGAATTTACAGTTAGCACATAAATTGAAGCATAATACAACTATTCAACATCCTTCACATATATTTAAAAAAAAATGAAAAAACAATTAATTAAATATAGCAAGTACAACTCTTGAAATTTGTTACAGCCAAAAAAAGAAGCTGAAGCAGAAGATAGTTAGAATGTAATAAAATTCAAAAACAGCACTGTCATAGCCAATATAAATTCATGATTTTTCATTAAGTTATAACAAGATTATATACTTAAAGCAAGAACATTAAACCATTGATGTAAGATAAACACAAACTAAAAGCACCTCGATATGTTAGAACTGTGTGAATATACAATAAATAAAATGCAATGTCAAAGTATTAATGTAACACAAGAATTCACAATTACTCATTGTGATAACTGTCCCTCAAGAATATGTCAACCTTCATCTTTAAAATCTGAGTAATGCTAGGTGATGAATTATGGGAACAGTAGAAAGAATCAATGATCTTCTGAGTTCCAAGAAAATGCAAACATAATTTTCATTAGTGCATAAGGGGAATCCACCACTACAATAAAATTTGAATAGCATGCAAATTTAATTAAAATATCAAGCAATATAGTTTTACCACATACCAGCTACAACATGTATTCAACATAAATCTAAGTTTAATTAATCATCAATTACCAGACCCTGATGAAGGTCATAGTTTCTAAATAAAACATAGAAATTTAATAGCATTAATACAGAACACCCTTAAAACTGCAGAAGTTTTGTACATGGCAGCAAATTATGTACCTGCAATTGCTTTAGTTTGTGAAGCAACAACATCCATAGTAGATCCTGCTTCACGTTGTTCAAGAGTCTCACCAACACAAGCTATCACCTTTAATCCTTGAGAAAGTGCATATTTAACCTTATCCCCAACAAACTGAACAAAATATACAGGGGAGCCTCAATGTTATTTTTGTGCACGATAAGAAGAAAAAGATATACAAATGTGAAGCCAGGATTGTAGACATATCAAAACCAAATGAAAAGTCTGACATTGTGCCATAAAACACTACTTACCTCATTTGATTCATTTAAGATAAGTCTCCTCTCAGAATGCCCAAGGATAACCCAAGGAATACCCAAATTGAGAAGCATCTCCGCACTGCACAAACATGAGACATCGACTTCAAATTTTCAATAAATAAAAAGTCTCTGTATGCAAATAATTTCTCGATACTCAGTTCATCAATGCAAAAGACGTTCCAATGAAATTATGTAATCAAAAGACTCAACAAAATGGCTAATTGCCATAAGAGTTGAGTCAAACATAGATCATTCATGCCTAAGCCATAACTTAGACGGGAATAAACCATATCCCGTCAGAACTAGTCGGTTCAGTTGCTCCTTACTGTTTGGTGATCCAATAAAACTTTTTTGTCTATAAACTCTAGTTTCAATTAGACAAGCACGCAAGTCAAATTAATAGAAGTGGTAGAATAGCATGTATTGATAGCGAATTTGCACATACCTAACCTCACCGGTGAAAGCACCCCCCTTTTTGACCCAACAGTTTTGGGCCGCAACATGAAAATCAGGCCGCAACAAATCCTTCACCACCGGAAGAAACACAAACGGTGGGCTAATCACAACCTCTGTAATATAATCAAAATTCCACCACGTCAACACTTCTGATCACCCACACAAAACAACAATAGCAGTTTCTTTTTCGGCAGTTAACTCGATAGATTATATTTAAATTGTAACATAAAACTCTTAAGTAGAATTAACCAAACTCTCAGTCAAATTCGAATAAATTTAATTGATATTTAAGCTTAACCAAAAATTGTAGTAAGTAAACTCATCTACATTTCAAGACAGATTAATGAGTATTGATCTGAGATAATAATCAAATAAATGGAAAACGACATGTACTTACCAACGACATCTTGAGATGGAACTTGACCTTCATTGAGTACATTCACTATCTTCTTCACTTCTTCAGTGGTTCCATTCTACACTCAAATTCAAAACAAACTCATAAATAACTAATTCATCGTACTAGTATTAAGCATTTAAACCAAAATGAGAAGATCTCGTGATTTGATCAATCAAACTGAGCGAAACTTAATCAACGCTTGAATAAGCTGAATCAGAAACTCACGCATTTCCAGTTACCGCCGACGAAGAACTTCCTGCCCATTGTTGTTTGGCGATGATAACAAAATAACACAAGGATGTTTTATTTTGTTTGGTTTTGTTTTGGCTTTTGTTCTGTTGAGCGACTATATTGATGTGTATTTTCAAGGCTGTTATTCTGTGCTAGAAAGTTTAGTTGAATTTACTGTTATAGCCTATAATCTGAGCGTATGCTTTTGGAGACAGGGAAGACGAATTAAGGGTAATTTTGTCAAGTAAAGAGTGTTCGGTGTTTGTGAGTTGGCAAACGGTTTTGTGGCTCACTGAGTTATGGTCCGCGGATTCATGAATCGCAGAATGAGTAGATGGTGAATGGTGACTGGTGACTGGTGACAGATAACGTGAGGACCTTCATAATTAGTTAAAGCCACGTCATCTTATTTCTATGTGCGCTAGCGCCAACCGTGAGTCGTGCATCCATAGTAACCAAGACCCAACTGGACTCGATTCACCCGAATTGATCCTGAATCCATATGATTAGAGAAAAATCACACGATTCCAAATGAGATATAATCATCTTTTTGTGATGATTCTTTATAAGAACTCTTTCCTTCAACTTACACTGATAAATTATTCTAGACTAAACAAACATACGTAAGTTCCATCACTGCTCAATTAAATGCCACTTCAAATATAAAAGACTATCCAGAATTGTAGTATCCAGATTCTCAGTCAGATACTGTTCAAAAAGAAGAGCTAAATGTGGACAATCCATATACGATATGTTAGGTGTTCATCCAGATTACCCATTTTCAAAAATCTTCTGTTTACCTCCTAGTCCATATATCATATTTCTAGAAGAATTATTATGGTTTTTTTGGTATATGTTACACCAACACCACATTGTAGTCCAATTCCCGGTCCATTATATGTTGAAAATAATTTTCCAGTATCAGTCATCCTCAACCTCTGAACTACACTCTTTAATGACTTTTCTCAAATGGTTCAAAACATCTTGTACCGAATACCATCAGGGATGATTATAAGTTTATTGAGTTTGGAATAAACATCAAAACCTAGAACCATATCTTTGCCAGGTAAATCGGAACCAAGAACTTTGTGAAAAGTGAAACATTCTAGAAAAAAATTGGATTTCAATGGGTTTGCTGATCAAATGAGTAATGAAAGTGTCACTATTAGCAGTGTACAAAACTTCTTGATGAGGTTTCCACTGGGAGGATCTTAGGATTGATAATAGTACGAGTAGTACCCGTATCAAAAAAATACTATAACAAAAATGGGAGTGGAATACTTAGTGGGGAAGATCTGGATTTTCGTTGTAGATATATGACATGAGAAGGCTAATGATGGAAATACTGACAATCTGATTTGCACTTGATCTGCAAGTCTGGTCTATGACAAACCTTTGTCAACTGTTTAGAGTGCTTCAGATAATCATCAAAAAATTGTTTCTGAGAACAAAACTTTTTTGAGAGCAAGAATGACAAACTGATAAATTTCTTCAAGAGAAGTGGAACCAAGTTGTTTGTTTTGAGGCTGCGTGAGCTTGGTTGCTTCATGACTTAAAGATTTTGGAATGGAGGCTAAAAAGAGTTGCTTCATATTAGGATCATTCATCCTTCTAAGTACATGATATCGTTTCAACATTTCTTGATAATGTCTGTCAAGATCTTTCTTTTTGAGAGAAAAACATCGCATCTTAAAATATGCTTCTCTGACCTGGTCTTGATATAGGTGAGGTAATTTGCAAAATTAATCATAAAGGAGATACAGAGCTTGATTAATATCTAGCATTTGGATAAACAAAGCTTGTCTGTATTCCCCAACACTAATCCACAAATCACGAAGAATTCCACCAAATCTAGCTGAAAATTGTGTAAGAACAGTAGAGACTTGGGCATTAGGTTTAAGCATCTCAGCTTGTAACCAGGCTTGAAATTCATACATGCGATTTCTCCATTTACGTGGAGGCAAATCATCAACAGTAAAAGTGTGAAGCTTGGCTGAAGCTGTATGAGAGTCATGCTCAATTGTAGTATGACGAGATTGTCGATACATAGGCGGAGAATCCAAAATGGAATTACAACCTTTAGGCATTTCATCATCAACTTCAAAGACAACAGGTTGTCTTAAGGGGTTTGGGTTGATGGGTCATTAATTGTGGATAAACATTAAAATGTTAATCAGAAGTATCAGTGGTAGAATCAAAGCTACTATCAAACGATTTGTTATTAGAAAGCATATCAGCTTCTGATTCTGTTTGGAAGAAAGATGAAGCATGAGTAATACCAGAGGCTGTAAGACGTTGTCTTTCTGCCACGTCTTTCAGAAAAGAACTCATATAATTGGAAGAAACAAGACTTTTTGGAAAGACAAGATTAGTAGAAATTTGGCAATCTTTCATTATCATCATTTGCATTGGAGACTTATCTATAGATAAAGGACGATGAGGCTTTGGAGACGAAAGATCTAAATCTGATGGTTATTGTACCGTCATTGTTATCATGCATAGCAGAGTCTGTAGAAACTACTAGAGTTTCTTTTTTATTAAGAGACTAATAACTTGTCACCCAAGAGTCTAATAACATTTTAATCAAGTCATCTCTAGAGATATGCCTGGGGATGTTGATATAGTGAGGAGTATTCTGAGAGTCAACAGTAAGAAGCAGCGCATCAGTAGTCGTAGGAATAGCAAGATCAAGAGCATGGTCTTGAATTCGCCAAATCACCTGGTAATGCAAAGGAGCTGCAATACTTCCTGGATTCAAATCTGCACCAACAATCTATAGTTGAACTTTGAGAGCTTTGGAGCAATGAACGTCGGAGAGAGACATATTGAAATTAGGAAATAGTGTCATGATGACAGTCCCAGCATTCAAAGTTGTCTGTGCTATTCCTATGCAAGCATGCTGATAATGAACAAATTAGTGTCTGACAGAGCAATTCGGACAGAGACTAGGAGTCTTTTTCTGCCATGGTAAGATAAATCAAGTCTGATAGCACTAAAGTGCACATGAGAGTATCATTCATGGATCCATTGGGCAATGGATTCTTGAGGGATTTCCAGAGTAACATATTGTTCTCGAGTTGTGGCTGGAATTTGACATTTAACAAAAGTACTAGTCTAGACATACTCTTTTACTGGCTTCCTGGAAGGTCTAACAAGAGCTTTAAAGGTTTTAGACAAGGAAGAAGAGGACTTAGAAAGGTTGTATAAGGATTTACAATAGGAGGGATAGACTATATAAGAAATTAAAAATGAGCTTTAGTTTATAATGTTTCTAATTCTCATGAATCTTATCACATTTATTTTTTAGTTGTCGTTGCTATGCTGCGTTGTAATTTTACGAAGGTACTTAAGGGAGAACGAGAAAATGAAGGTACATTTCAGGCTGTACCATTTCATTATATGGAAAGCAGGGACAAAAAGGACATTGTTGACTGTACTAATTTGTCACTGAGACAAACGATTCTTATATGGGTGGTTGGGGCAACATTTCAATTTAGCATACGAACGGAAATAGATGATGTGGTGGATTCGTGCATGAAATATTTTGGGTCACAAATAATATGATCACTAGCCCTTGAATCAATAATCCAGGTATTATCTTTAATAAAATTCAGGCAAAAAGATGTGCATGCATATGATGTCGTAGGCGTTTGTGGAATTTGGTTCATCATTTGAAGCAATTGATTGTACTGGTTTGTGCTAATCATTGGTGCAAATATCTAATTTCTAGTAGAGATAGTGGTAACCTGATGTGCTACAGAATTACCATATTTTTTGGTCGTATTCGGATGCTCATGTAGTTTCCAGCAATTTTTTCGAGTGTGATTAATCCTCTTGTAGTAATCACAGTATGCCATGTTTTTCCCGGTTTTATTGGATCCAGGCCCATTTGACCAAGTTGCCCCATTTGATCCATTTGTCCAATTTGGTCCATTTGCAAAATTTGGCCCATTTGGCCTGTTTGACCCAGTTGATGCCATCAATGACATGGTAGCACAAGAGCCGTTGGATCCTTGCAAGAGAGATAGTAGCTGTTAGTCGTTGGATTGCTACATTCCATCTGAGCCCTTTGTTCCCTCATATAAAAAGGGAACATTTTTAGGGTTAGCAAACCCTAGCTGCTCAGTTCCAAAATTTCCCTAAAAAATCTCTAAATTCAGAGAAGGTGATTGCTCCATTCATGTGCCGACGAAGGCTACGACATCCCTAGATCAAGGAATCAGTATGTATCATTGGCTATTGTCTTGTACGACCAACTGAAAAATGCGACAAAGATTTGTGTTCTGAAGGAAAGAAACGCCTCATTGAGGCCGAGAAGGAAACGACTTTGCCGTTCTTGTTCCTGAATTCAGTGAAACTGTTAAAGGGTTGCCAGTGGTCCCTCAAGCTTCTCTTCGGTGACATCAAGCTCATGTTGTATGGTAGAAGTTTATTGAAATATACGGTGACTGTTGAGTTACATTGTGTTATTTCGGCAAATTGCTACCAGAGAGTGTAATTTTTTGCGAGATCTAGTTTGTCATACATATCCTTGATTGTGTTCCACATTTCAATGGCGATTTCAGGCAGATGTAGTCCGGCCTCCATCTCCGTAAACAGGTAGTTGCTTAGCCACGATCTTACCAGCATGTTACACCTCTTCCAGCAATGGTGAAAAGGTGAATCGAGGGGTGGTGGTTGGTAGTCTCGTCTATGAATCCTTCCTTGACCTTGGTGATTGCTCAAAGGAAATCACGAGCCCATGTGGAATAATTGTCAGACCCGATTAATGGTTGCTTGATGAGGGTGATTTCTAGCCCATTGACGCCGGTAAAAACAAAACGTTGCCTGGTTCAAGGCTATGGTCGGTGGTTGGAATCATTTGAAAAGTAAACAAGTAGGGATTCATACTCGTTTGTTGTGATGGATCTGGGTTATAACCGGGCATATTGAGGTATGGGAATGGGATGTGGGTATGGGCCATTGTGTGTGTTTGGGCCTGTTGTTGTGTTTGATGTGTGTAGGCCAAGATTTGGGTTTGGGTCATTGTGTGG